TGTGTGTGTGTGTGTGTGTGTGTGTGTGTGTGTGTGTGTGTGTGTGTGTTGGGAGGAGAGAATGAGCATTAAACAAACATTTACAAGGCACTAGACTTACCAGCACACAAGAACAGCAAAAACTGCAATGGGAAAATTTGCTTCCTGCTGCAAAGACTTCCACGCTGACGAATCCTGGTATCCTCCCAACCAGGCATTGCCAATCAGTGGGAGGGTTTCTGCAGTTTCCTGGGTTAGCGTTGCTCCCGGGCCCTGCACAGCACGGCACCACCGGCCTTCCTTGTTGTGAAAGGCTGAGGCCGGTGGCTGGGGCTTCTGTCTGTTGCAACTAGTGCTGTCTGAAAATTGATGCCAATTCTCAGACACTGCTGCCTCCTTAGCTTCCCAGCACCAGGGAAGAGATTGATCACTCATTTGCTCCCCCCCCCCCATCACCTCTTGGGCAGCAGGGGTGCTCAGATAACTGTCCTTGCCTTATCTCTCCTTTGAGCACTGTTTGAAGGAGACAGGAATTTAAGGCTGCCTCCCCATTGTCATGCTGCTTGCAGTATGTTAATTTAACCTACTTTTCTTTAAAATCCCTACTGAGTTTACTGACCAAATATTTGCTAGCTAAATAGTGGAAATAAGAAAGTGAGAAAGAAAGGAGTAAAGAAATTAAAGAAACATAAAGATATTTTTATTTAGTCAAAATAGCTTGATTCTATGCCCCAGGGTCATAGAGCTCAACATTTAAGAATCCTAACCAGGGCTGATCTCTGGCATCTAGCATGGGGCAGGTTGGCAGGTGGGGTACTCATGGTGGGAGAACAATCTACCACATCGGAGTGTAAGGTATCCAGATTATGATGACCGTACAACCCTTGGTATTGAGGCCGTTTGGAGTGGGAGCAGACCAGTCAGAATCAGGTGCTTAATACTTGTTGTCTAATTGACTAACTGACCTGTCAATACTAAGACAAAAGCATACTTATGCTTACTCCTCACACTTTTTAGGTTAGGCTGGCAAGTCCACCTATATGAGGATTTGGGAAACAGGAACTGAGCAAATCATACTGAATTCTACTTGTAGCAGCTGGCCCCTCCCTGAACCAACAAGGGTTTCCCCCATAAAAAGTGAGCATGGGTACTCTGGGTCTCCATCTCCATCTCCATCCACTCAGACTGACTGCTTATCCCTTATCCCACTATTTACTTTTCTTCATCAGCCAAGGGACACAATTTGTTCAGAGCAAAGGCATTTAATGAACTTACCTAGTAAAAGTAACCTGTAACCAAGGGCCCCCACAAGACTCTGGGCTTTGACAAATTAGTTTCAGTCATAGGAACCAGCTCTTACAAGGTAAATTTTTCTCTTTAACTCACTGTTCCCACCTGGAGTTGCTACAGGAAAATCTTTAAAATAATGAAACATTCTTTACAAAAAAAAAAAAGGACCTATGTAATGCAAGAAATATTAATTACTCATGGTTACATCGTGCCAATATAATAAAAATGACAATACTACCCAAACTAAACTTTTGTATTCAGTGTCATGTCAATCTAACTACCAAAGAATTACTTTATAGAGCTAGAAAAATAGCAACAAAATTTATCGCAAGAACAAAAGATCAATAATCTCAAGAGAAATAATTCCTTCAGCAAGTATTTATTAAGGACCGACTATTTGCTGGGTGTAGGGGAAAGAAACAATTCCAAATTGCAAGGAGCTAACATTTTATAAATATATATATATATATCACAAATACAAACTGAATAAATAAAATATATGCAAAGCAATTGTGTACAAGTAGTTTTAGAGGGAGGGCACTAGTAGTTGGAGGGATCAGAAAAGGCAGAAAATGTTTCTTGAGCTTCATCTTAGAACGAAGAGTTATAATGAAAAAAAAAGTGGGAAGGAAGAGGCCTAACAATTCCAGATTTCAAACTATGCTACAAAGTAGTAATCAACAAAACTATTTGGTACTTGTTGAAACATAGTGTAATCTGAGATTCAAGCATATTTGCATAAGACTCTTCTCATTGATGGAGACTGATTACTTTACACTCTGATGGCTCTATGCCTATGTGAGAGGTGAGAACTTTGGAGAAGACAGATCCTTGTTCTTCCAGCTTCTAGCTTTAAGTCAGGAGGATCAATGGTTCCAGATTGTCTTTAAGGAAGGGTTCTTAAAGGAAGAGATAGATTCTGGGAAAAAGTTGGCACATAGAGGAGGCAGCACCCGTGTTCCTATAGCCAGTTTACTATGCCAGGGATTTTAGAGAATTTCTCCTTGGTAAGATCTGGGAATCTTTCTTTCTCTTATAGTTGAACTGAGATCTTTTCCTCATTCACTGTGTATATTGTCTGATATATTCTAAACTGTATAACTTCTTTACTATCTGTTTGCTATTTACTCTTCACTGTGTATCTTTGTGTAATTGGCATTTGGTGGTAAGAGTGTCCAGCCTTTGGAGTAGTTCTGGGACACTCCATCCCCATTAAGGGATAGTGATTAAGAGCTCAGCTTGAACCTTAAAATTATTTTCTCTGGGTCAGCTAGGTGGTGCAGTGGATAGAGCACCTGCCCTAAAGTCAGGAGGGCCTGAGTTCAAATCTGGCTTACAACCAAACACTTGACACTTATTAGCTGTGTGACCCTGGGCAAATCACTTAACCCCAATTGCCTTAAAAATTTTTTCCCTAAAGTTTTTTTTGGGGGGGAAGCTAGATATAATCCTAGCCTAGCCCAATGTCCCTTCTCTCTGAGGACAGCAGAGTGGCCAGCCTTGTATCTTCAATCTCCTGTTTCCCTTGTAGCAGGGATCAAAATGTCTCTTGCAGAGGGGTGGGCAAAGGAGATTCTAGAGGCGTTTATTCATAGTATCTAGATAGATCTATGTGGACACACACATAACTTACATGGGCAACATATGCATGCCCTACAATGGAAAGATTGATCAATGGCATAGATTAGGTACACAACACATAGAAGCAAATGAATATAGTATCATAATGTTCTCTAAACCCGAAGACCCCAAGTGGTGAAAATGCAATTCAACAAAAGTTGCTGGGAAAACTAGAAAAAAGTCTGGCAGAAATTAGGTTTAGACTAATATATCATACTATGCATAGAGATAAGATACAAATGGGAACATATCTTTGATGTCATATTGTAAACAAATTAGAGGGATGAGGAACCTTTCACAGTTGTAGATAGGGTAAGCATTCACGACCAGAGGATGGAGGGTATTACAGAAGACAAAGTGGACAATTTTAATTGCAAAGAATTAAAACATTTTTAATATATATAAAATCAATATAGTTGAAATCAGAAGGAAAGCAGTTAACTGGAGAAAATCTTTACAGCAAGATTCTCTGATAAAGGTCTGATATTCAATATATACAAGGAACTAATTCAGATAAATAAGAATAAGTCAGTTCCTTAAACAATCAAAGGATATGAACATGCATTTCTCAAAGAAAGAAATAAAAGCTATTGACAATGATATTTAAAACATTCCAAATTACTAATGATTAGAGAAATGCACATTGAAACAACTCTAAGATTCTGCCTCATACCCGTAAGATTAGCAAATACTGTATGACAAAAAAGGAAGCTGATAATTGTTGGAAGGGCTGCAGGACAATGGGCACACAAGAAGATTTATTGATGAAATAAGAAAGAAAGATGTGAAATGGAATAGATTTCTATAGTGATCTCTTCTCATTATTAGTGAGGTGAAATCCACCAGGTTTGAACTCTAACACCTGAGTTAACTAATGTGCGTGAAGAGGTGAAAATGGTAATCAAGCAAATGAAATCATGCAAAATGGCTGGAACTGAAGAGATGCAAACAGAGGAAATTTGACCTTGAAGCAATTCAATTTCCAAGGCACCTAGGGACAAATTTTCAAGATAATCTCACAGAGAAAAAATTTTCAGAAAAATGAAAAAGATCACAGTTTCTATGGATGTAATCCAAAAAAGGTAACTCAGGAAACATCAGTGACAATTAACCCATAAATTGTCTCTATATTGTTTTAAAAGAATGGATGCATAAATCAGGTGTATACCTTATGTACATGTAAGAAGGGAACAGGTAAATGTTCACAGATAATTCTTATGGCAGACCACACCTTCTTAGTCATTTAAAGGTGTAAAGATGTGTTTATCCTTCACTAATTACCCTTTAAAAAGTATTTAACTCAAGTAAAACATGGTCTTATAGGCTCTTCCCCAACAACACCTCTCAATGCAAATGTTAATATCAGACAAACTTCTTGGCTGCTTGATAGATGCACCCACAGAGATGATCCTTTGATTGATTGCTTATCTCTTGCTAGGCATAAACAAGGAGGCACATGCATGATAGAGATTCTCCTATGTCATGGAGAGTATCTTGGACAGAGTTCAAATGGAAGAGGAATTCTCTCTATATACAGAGATGTTCTACCAGATGCTCTAGTTTGGGGGAATGCACTGTACTCTATTGGTTGACTCAAATCTTGAATGCTTGAGAGCCTTTGCAATGAGATCCATGGCCACTCAAAAAGAGATTAGCCTAGGAATTCACATGAGAAAAACTATAAGAATTAATTATATGAATTAGATTATTATATGATGTTGACTGAGAAGGCCATTGAGTTAGTCCATCATTATATTTATTTTCAATAGATAGTGGATGAGCTACATCCAGAATGTGAGAGGAGAAGACTAGATTACATTGGAATATTTAGCTGTGTTTTCAATGACCTTGAGCTGCTCCTTGGCAACAGAGCATATGTTTTAAGCATCAGTATTCGCCCAGTAGAGGCAACTAGGTAGCACAATGGATAAAGCACCTGACCTGGATTCATGAAGACCTGAGTTTAAATTTGGCCTCAGTTGCTTACTAGCTGTGTGACCTCAGGGAAGTCAATTATTTCTGTTTGCCTCAGTTTTTTCATCTGTAAAATGAGCTGGAGAAGTAAATGGCAAACCACTCCAGTATTTTTGCCAAGAAAATCCCAAATGGGGTCACAAAAGAGTTGGACACAACTGAAATGACTAAACAACAACAAATTCTCCCAGTGATGCTATATGACTGTGAATCATGGAATAAATACCAGTCTTAAAATCTAATGATGAAGGCCATTCAGCTATTGACATGTAGATAACTTGAAGAAATTGGGGATATTTAGCCAAAAGAAGCAATGATTTGGAGTAAGGGAAGGGGTAAAGGATTTTAAAG